AGAATGCCTTTTTATAAACCTATGTTTTACCCATCTATTTATTTTAAACTGCATCTATCAAACCATTTTTTTTCCCTGTGAGCTTAGTAGCCTTACAATGTACTCACTACTTACAAAGCTAAACCGCCGTCACCTCCTGTTGGGCTGGTGGCTGGCAGAGAGAGCTGTTTCTCTATTGTACCCCGCACCGCTCAGCCCCAGGCATCATCCATAGTGTCTACTCTCTCCTTTACATCTGGGAAAGCAGCAGCTACTGCGGGAGCTGCAATTCGTTTTGATGTATTCCGGATATCTTCTCCCATATGCAAACATAGCTTTGCAGCTTACAGAAAGCTCTGCACAAACGTGGGTTTGCTGCGATGGTGACCGTCTTTGGTCAATGTCACCGTCAGGCTCCCAGTTCTACCCCTGACTCTCTTTTAGCACTTTCCCTGCTGTGCTTTTGAGCCAAACACTTTGGGTCTATTGCTTCTTTTTTGCATAATTAGCATTCAGTGTTACCCAGTGGCCTTTACGAGGAGGTCTGTCTTCCCTGGACACAGGAGAGCAATTTCATCCTGCTGTGTTGCCTCTCTCCTAGCAAGCTTTCTTTCATGCGCGGGCCGGTTTTACCCATCCATTTTACTGCTGATGCCAGCAAGGGTTTCCAGTGCTTTACATTGGCCGCTCCCTGCTCCCTGGCCAGTACAGGCCTCTCTTTCCCACCCACTTGTATTTCCCCTGCCTTGCCATCATCTTCTGTTGTTTCTCTAGCCGTTCTCATATCCCTGTTTCAGTCGATCTTTTCCCATTTCTGTGTGTTACAACCAAGCCGAGAGGGCACAGACCTCTCCCAGCCTCGTCCCTTGGTTCCAGTTTTTCCCTCCGCGGCTGCCGCCATTCTGATTCCAGTCAGCTCCTGCTCTGGGCGGTTATTTCAAAGCGCTCGTCCGGGGCAGGGCTGGGCGGGAAGGGAAGGCGATCCGGAGGCGGATGGCGGTGTGCGACTGACGGCAGGCGGACGCGGACCGACACCGGCCCCGCGGCGGCAGCAGGACTGCTGCACCCCCGGCGGGGTGAGAACCAGACAGACGACCGAGCCTTTCCGCCATTTTCTGCGTCAGCCTGGCGGGACTGCGGGACACAGCCCCAGGGCCGAAAAGCCCGGCCCCGCGGCCGGGGGCCGGCGCCG